ATATATATGTTATATATATATATTCACCTTTAAACATATTAGAGAATAATGGTCATGATATTAATTTTTCTAGTAGTCAAGACTTTAAACAATAGCATATCCATTTTTTTTATGTCTAAAATTCTTCAAATAAAAAGTAAATTTACTTGAAAACTTAAAGTAACAAAGTTATTTGCCAAAATGTTAAATGTCAATTTGTTAAGAAATTAAATACCCTTAAAACTGTTTAAAAAAAAACAAAAAACAAGGAAAGTTGAAAAGGCAGATGTTAAAGTGCTCAGATTCTGATTACTTACAGCCTTGGGATGATGTTTCCAGCATATTGCACAAGCTCATAGAGATCCGCCACTTTTCTTCCTTTGGCAAACTCATCTGTTAGGTAGACCTCCAAGTAGTGCAGCTCATCAGAAATAGCCATATCTTTTAATTATGATTAAGGGTTAAAAATAAAGATAAGCCAACTTAATCAAAACTCTATGACCTGTAAAAGTCATTAAAACTATTGGGCAGGGCTGGGGATGTAGCTTAGCTGGGGATGTACTCTTAGTGGAAGAGCACTTGCCTAGCATGCACAACACCTTGGGTTCAACCCCAAGCACCACCAAAACAAAACGAAAAAAACTAGCAGGAGATGTGGCTTAAGCAATATAACAACCTGCCTAGAAAACACAAAGCCCTTAAGTTCAGACTACCCAAACAAAAAAAACCCCAAAAAGCAAAAACTAAAAACTACTGGACAGTCAGGTATGGTGGTCCTACCTATAATCCCAGCAATCAGGAGGCTGAAGAAGGAAGATAGGGAGTTCAAGTCCAGCCTGTACCACATAGCAAGTCAGATATTGTCTCCAAAAAAAATCTGATGGGAAGATACCTTACATTTAGGCCTCTAAGAGAGTACTTAAGGTGAAGGCAGAACTTCAGTTGGTTTTTCTTACTTTATGATAAAGATTTTCATGCTGGTCGTGCACATCTATAATTGCAGCATTTGGAGGGCTGAGGCAGGAGGATCATGAGCACACCTCCAGCCTGGGCTACAGAGTAGACCTTGTCTCAAAAAGACAAAATAACTACCCCCCCCCCCCCAAAAAAAAA